AAATAATTATTAATAAAACTTATTATACAAATTGTACTATATATAATTAATTAGTTTTAAATGTAATTTTATTAATAAAAATAATGCTTAATAAAAATTATTAATGCCTTTTAATGATTTTTTGCCTGATAAACGATTTTTTGCCTGATAACAGATTTATTATAGTCATCATTAATTATAAAAAATCACGGGATACCGGATAATTTAAAAATATCGTGATCATCATGTGATTTCAAAAATGCGTGAATATGTATCATAGTCGCGCGTGATGTCACTAAGGCATAACGTAACTAGAGAGGCTATTTAAAAGTCTCGTGTTTCATTTTCATTATTTATTATTCTTACTTGCTTTCAACATGTTATTAGAACCACTTGTCGAAGAAGCCTTCAGTAACTATAGATTCAAGCACATAAATCACCAAAATTTTAGCTTCTTCAGAAGTACGGATGCGCAACGTTGGTCGTTTTATTCTTATTATATTTCTATAATATACTCTAGTAAACCGCCAGTAACCTTTGGCGAGTGCATTAGCAGGTGGACAACAATCCTTAGGGGTATAAAAAAACATCGCTCTACCCCGAAAACGATCGTAAATTTCGTCAAAATGCTGTTAGAATTTAACAAGGTGATTATGTTTTACTTGCATACGATTATCTTACATTACTAACTTTAATCAGTCCAAGGAATTTAGCATCCTGCGAAAAGCTTGTGAGCAACGGTTCGGAGCTCATCTTATGGCGTCCATTTCGAGTGCCACAGTGGCGTTGAGTGAGTTTGTCCAAGGCAACAACAGACAGGCAGCTGAAATAATGGCCAGTCTAAGACAGGAGGAAAACAACGAAGAAGAAAGAATGCCACCACTCGAAGTTGATTATACTATAAGTTCAGATCTTTCATCCAAAGATGATTATACTACGGATTTGGATTCTTTATCATCCGAAGACGAGTATATTACAGACTTGGATTCTCCATCGCCTGAAGACGATTATATTACAGAGTCGGATTCTGGAAAATCTTCCCAGGTGTTGACGGCAATGAAAAAAGAGATAGAGTTCATATACCGAAAAATGGAAACCCAATCAAAATGGCGCTTATCTACAGGCAAATATGTCGAAGATTCGTTATTTGATTTTGGAATGGTCGCGAACTATGAACAGTAAGTAGCTCAACTGCTTGTTCAACCTTGTGTTGTCATTATTTTTCATCATTTTAATATTGAGTTTTACAAGTCTCGCTCACTCGTTCATTATCGACCCGGACGATGAAACGTACAATTCAATATTTACCGAAAAGGAGATGAAATTCGGTCTTACAACATTAAAGAATTTCCTGAAGTACCAGATGATCTTATCGAGTATCTATTGAAATATGACAAAGTAAGAGTATAAACACTTAATGCACGCTTCTTTACACATATTAATATTATAATTCAAGGATTCGTTAGAGGAGCTGAGGGAAGTCCTAGCGGAAAAAGAATCCTGGGAAGGAAAATACTATGACAAAAGCATCCATTTTGACTTTGAATGGATAAAAAGATCAATGCATAATCTGTGAGTAATAATAATAATACAGGGATAATTTTGAGCTTACATTAACACTTTTTCCTATACAATTGATCAACTAAAGAATAAACGAATATGATAACGACAATTTAAAATCTGGTCGACACGAGAATTGGTATCTCGTTCATTTCTGGAGTTTAATTGACAATTCACTGTCGGATTTGAATAATGTTTATATTGCTCGTGGTGAAGTATGTAGTAACGCAAGCGCTAATAGAACGAACCGTCATCGAATGTCACAAGGAATCACTCGCTTGAAAAGAAAAGAATTTGGACGCAGAAGTGACCTAATTATTAGGAAAAATAAGCGAGAATATGGATGCTCAGAGGCCGGAAGATGCTTTAAAGGAGAAAACGACACAAAAATTTTAAAGGAAAGGGGCCTTAAGTGTCCTAAAGTTATGAAAGACATGTTTGTCGATCTTGCTAATGCAGCCGAATGGAATACCGAAAATAGAAGTAGTTGGCTGGATCCATGCCGGTTTGTATCTATATTATTTATATTTATACTTCAATTCATACTAACAATATCCTGTTCCTGTTTTTCCTCCAGAACTAATGATGATGCTAATGCGACTTGATAATCCAAGCTAGAGGTTGGAACCGGCCGAAAATTCTTTAACCGGTTAAAATTAACTTTGGCCAGTATTATAAATTTGGCCAGAGTTAGACAATATTTTGTCAATCATAAAAATCTTAATTTTGGCCGGAAATTGAATTTCGGCCGGATTTAAATTCATCTATTTTAACTGGTTAAAAAAAAATCTTTAACCGGTTAACATGTTAACCGTTTTAACTGGTTAATTAACTGGTTCTAATCCAAGTGGTTATATATGTCGCATTATAAGAATACCATTATATCAAATAGCTGAAGAAGTTAGCAGGTTCGGGAAGAACTTGGAATTTTTCATTCTGATATTGAAATCCAAAGTTATAATTAAGAAAATTATTTTATTAGTTGAAAGTAAAAAGACAAAAATGAAAAGTGAATGAAAAAGAAAACTTCAGGAAGTGGGCAAAGGATCATTTGCAGTCATAATACGAATTTATGATTGTTGTGAAACACCTAAATGGAAAAAAAGAAGAAAAATTGATTGTAATATAGTAATTTCATTCTTTTTCATTTGTGATCATACCATTCTCTTTAATTAATCTTAATATCGCCTGCTTCTTCTGCTTTTGAATTTTCTTCAAAGTATATTTTAGTCAATTAGTTTGGTAGGTCTCAAATAAAAATGAATCAGATATTTATTATAATATACTTATTACAATTTGCTATAAATCAATAAAATTATTATAAACTGCTTATATACACTTGCAAGGTAGTCAGACTTTTCTATCAAATTAAATTGGGTATTAATTCAGAAAATGGCATTATATTTTGTAAAAAAAAATTTTTTGCTTATCATTTGATTCTTTGGAATGTTAAATAATTGCTTGTAAAAATAATCCAAAATAATCCTAGTTTTAAAAGAGTTTACTTAGAGATGACATACTATAATAACGAAACTTAAAGGTCTTTATATTATTATAAAACTTGTTTTAAACTTTTAATAATCTAAAAGAAGTTTTAAAATTTGTATTGTAACGAAAAAAAATGATTATGTAGTATAACATAAAATGATCTGCATAAAGTTGGTATAGCAATATAGCATGGAAATCATTAAAATTGGCTGATAAATGATCAACTAAAATGTTACACAAATCTTAAACAAAATAATCAATGAAGAAAGGTAAAATCATTAGCTGATGGGATTGGCATCTCTAATTTAAGTCGTAAGGTATAAGTTCCTATTGCAGTTATATTGCAATAAATCCTAGTTCAACATTAGCTAAATGTAGATTAAAATATTAATTTACAGTGGGATTTACCAGTTCAATTCTGAAAATGAATTTCATAAAATGCACATAAATTATGTGTATTAAAGATCACAAACTTGTAGAATATAGTGAACCTGTATGGCTATGCAAGTGATCATGTATATATAGAACTTATTAAGTTTTGAACTTGTGTTAGAAGGCTGGCCTGTAATAGGTAAGTGTCATGTTGTTTACAAAGAGATCATATCTGATAACAGGTCATAACAGATCAATGATAGATGCTGTGTAATTTGAATTGAATAAGTATCTAGCTAACCTCACTCCTGAATAGAAATAACAATGAATTTAGAATCAGATTGACTAATTTACCCTTTAATATTTCTGCACATAACTTGAATGATATTATTTTCATCACTAAAGCTAAAGCTATTCATATATCTCATTTTAACAATTATAAGCCCTGCCTATTCGCTGTCTTTTACTTTGAATCTGCTAAGATCTCAATAATACTACTAAGAAGTACTTTCACTTTTGATGATCTAAAATTATAATGGTATTTAATGGACGTTAAATGTTATCACAAATATAACTCATCAGAATACATTGTCATCAAATGTCTTCTTATCATTTTTCCAATTAAAGATTTAATTAAAATCTCATCTAAGAATTCTATTTATAAGTTATCTTCTGTACAATACCTATATAATAAATTTAAACTAGTAGAATCTCATTCTTTGATTATGAAAAGTTCTACTAAAGTTAAAAATGATCGCCTCCTTATTACTTCACCAAAAAATCTTAATCTACAAATTTTTAAAGGAAAAGCTAAAAGATATCAGTCCTTCTGACTCATTTATTGTTGACTTAATCCATAATCCAAAGAATAATAATAATACTAATAAGAAATTAGATTGTATTTTATCTATATTATTAGACATATAAAAAACTATAACTGATCAAAGTAACATATTGCTAAAGTTGAAAAGATCTAAGTCTCTATTCAAATTTCAGTTATTTCACTACCTAAAGAAATTATTTCTAGTACTTTTTTATTTTTAGTTACTTTAGGTTTTACTTAAAATAAATATATTAGATTTGCCCTATAAAAAATTTGCATATATTTTTTCATTATTATAAATAAGTTTTGTATACGTTTTTTGAAATTCTATAACACATTTTCTTATATTTTATAAGGAATTTTTTTTTAGCATTTTTTTTATAAAAAATAATATATAAGAAATTGTTGATTAATAATATATAAAAATAATAAAAAAATTATATTTTATCACATTGAAAATTATAAGATTTTTATAATAAAATTATACGTTTTTTAAAAATTAATATTTTTTTGATTGATTTATACTGAAAATAAAAGAATTAATAGATTTATTATAATTTATAAAATTTGTATTATTATTATAAATAATACTCATGTATTATAACGAAAAAATTTAAGTCTTCTGTTAATATTTGATATAAATGTAAAATACAACGGAAATATTTTTAATTCAAAGTATTGTATAAAATTTGTAAAATTATGTAAATTTTACAGAATAAGATTATTAATTTTATGTTTAATGTAATACTTCATATTATTTACTAATTGTAATATTTAAGATTTATAATGTAATATCATGCTAGTTAAAATATTAATCCTTAAATATTTTCTTTTCTCATATATTAAATCTACACTTTGATAAAATATTTGCATATATTAGAAGATTTTATATATTAAAAATAGATTGAAAATTGAATACAGAGTCAAGTTTATTAAGTAGTATTAAAAAAGTAAATATTAGTTTCTAGACTTTCTTTTTTTCATTTTTGATGGTAATGATGGTCTTGAAGAAGATACTGTAAAACTATTTTCTGTATTACTATCGGAACTAATTTAAGAAGCATAATATAATAATGATAAATTAATATGCAATATATTCTGTAATTATAAAAATACATTAATTTTAAATAAATGAAATAAAATTTTAATAAGATTTACTGTTAACAAACCCTTATTGTCAATAATGTTTCAATAAAATTAAATATAATTTCTTTATCATTTAGTTAAATTGAAATTTTAACAGTTTGTAAATTGTTGAGACAATGTATCTTATCTATATCTCAAATTAGGATATTTAAATGCATCTTATTTCCAGCAACTTGGATTCCAATAATACTAAAATTATCATTTTCTAGTTTGCATCCTTTGTAAGCTCAATACATTTCATCATTCATCTCTCTCCAAGCTTTTACCTGATCATCTTTCTTTTTTTGTCTATTATAAATGATACAGGAATTTTCACCATAAATTAATTCATATGTCTTATTATAAAAATTAGCAATAAATATAATATCTAACCATTTTTCAACTTCTCTTCGATTTTTACTAGCTATACTTTAACGTTTTGCTGTAGAAATATAATCAGATTTTCTAATAGAAAGATCTTTTAACAATGCTTAAATTAATAGAACTATTATATCAGCTATATACATTCCTTCACTTTGTGACTTAACCAGTTTTATTTCAAAAGCAGGATTTTTCTAAATATCTCTTCTATAAAAAATATCATTAAATGAAATTTTATTTAAAAAAAAATAATAATATAAATATTGCAATATTAGATTATACTATAAGTTTTGTTATGAAATACTCATAAGACATTAAGTATCTCTGATATAATTTTTGTTAGTTTTTCGTCTGATTCTTTTCAGCTTTTATCGTGTATAAATCTATTTAGAGTTCCGAACGAGTCGAGTTAACTCATGAGTCAGATAAGTCAAGTTGAGTTTAAATCGAGTTGAGTTTATATTTTTTTGACTCGATAATTTGTGAGTCAAATCAAATTCGAGTTGAGTTAAATATTTAACTTGACTCAATTTAAACTTGACTCAAACTCGACTTGACTCAAGTTGACTTGAAATAGTATTATTAATAAATTAATATTTTAAAACAATAAAAATTATACATTATAATAATTGAAATACTTTATAATAGTTGAATTGTATTAATAGTTAATAATTGAAATTTAT